TCGTTCAAAAAAAAAAGTCAACTCTATGTCTATTCTAAAGCGTATAGCTGCATGATTCAAGAGAGATCAAAGCCAAAAGCGGATCGAAAATCTGGAAAATGTGTATTCTTGCGATAGGTTTTGCATTTCTCTCGCATCCTATTCGCATAGTCGTATTCCGCACGAGCCAGGCATCGCATGAATACTTTCTCGCTGACTCGTTAGATTTAATTTACCGCTAAGCGAATAACCCGCGTTGCGTTTTCCTTCACGGCTTTGGCACTTCCACGTTCACGTTTTCCGCCCCTGTGGCAGCATCCTCCATTTGGAGAAGGCAGCGTAGAGCATTTCGTTCCGACGAAACGGATGCGGAAGCACGGTCGTGAATCGCTGCATTACGAGCTCGGCGCACTTCGCACCGCGCGCATTCACTGGCGAACCGCAAGAATCGTGGTCGGGTTTGAAAGTACGATGGAAATTAATTTGCCGAGCTTAACGAACCCAAGGCCCACAAAGCAGCGCGGTGGGTACTGCTGGTACGTCGTGTTAATTACATTGAAACCAGCAAAAGCAGGCAAACAGCGAAGACGGATGCTCATTTTTATATAAGCGAAAAGATGTCGCGATGTGCATTCGCGATCTGATAGTTGTTTTCTGGTATCACGAAAATATCAGTAGTTAGCTCATATTTGACAAATTTTGGATTAAATAATTAGAAATAGCAAAATATTCACAAAATGTCATGTGGTCACGATTTTTCATTATTTAATTTTCAAATTTATTCCTTAAGCTTTAAAAAACAGGGAGAAATTTTCTAAATCTTAGTTTTTTTCACAAGTAAGATTTATTATATTTCATTATTTTATTATATTCCTTGTCTTGAAATGTGACATTGTTTCAGCGTCACTACAGTGACTTTTCCATCCTATAAAAATTATATTATTTTTATTTCTAAAAAGAATGCAAGAATATTTTGTCATAATTAGCTGTAATGAAAGTAAATATCAATTAATATTCTTTCATAATTTTTCTCGTATTGTTTATGGAGTATGATATAATTGTTAGTTCCCATCTCAAAGAAAGATCCATCTCTAATTAAAATAGAATATTTTATTTACAGCAGCTTATTGTAAAGGAGAACTTGGTTTACAAAAATAAACTTAACACTCATGCATCCATCTACGAAGAGAGAGATTAGTTTTTATAACAAAATTAATCTAAACTATTCCGCGCAAGTTGTAAAATAATAAATTGCCGATCTTCTGAACACGTGTCTCGAGAGTCGCGGACCGCAGAGGATTACAAGACAGTCTCGCTGTTGGAGGTCGGTTGGGAAATTAGTTTCCGAGCTTAATGGAGTTCCATGAGCGCGAAAGATGGGCACCTCGGAGGCGACGACTGCCGACGAAAGTTTTCGCAACTTTCGCAATTTTTTCAATTAGCCGCGATTTTTCAACGGCGCGACGGAGCGAGCGGCGTGGGTGAGAAATGAAAGCAGGTCCCCGTGTTTGTTGGACTTCACTCTACTTTGTGATTCCGTCCTAACGACATTACTGTGTATATTGGGAAAGTCAAGCGACGTTATGAAAGTCTTAGTAGCCCGCCAAGTTCTTTATTCCGAGAGTCTGCGAGTGGCCCGGCGTTCATTCTTCCCCTCGACAATAACTTTTCCGTCATTAATGGACCGTATTGTGCGCGCTGTATCGTGTCGAGCGATCAAAACACGGCAAATGCGTCTCGGTATCTCGGTGACGGTTACTTCCGCCCGACTTCCGGTTTGGATCGATGATTTACGATCCCTGAAAAGAACCGAAAAGGTTAAAAATTGTGCAGGCACGTCTGAAACTATGCTCACTCGAATCTACTGTGACCCGTTTCTATAGACACATCTGTTCTTTTCCCTATTTGATCTGTTCTTCCTTTAAATTTCTTTATTCTTTATTTAAATATGATAGAAAATGCCAACACGGTCAAAATTAGATGTTTCGAATAATATAATATATATTCTATATTAAATCAATTTATTTCAGATATGATTGACTGCCGATAACGTTCGGACTTTCAACATAATCAGTCTGAAATGTTAATAATCTCCCTAAATTAAATTAAATAGAAATTCATTTCTATTTTTTTATTTAGATTCTGGCAATAATATATCTATATGTATGCACATGTTTCGTTTCACAAAAAAGTATCATAGGATATTCACAATTAATATTTTAAGAAGAATATTTTTTCTGAAGGAATAGCAATGATTTCGGCATGACAACGAGAGCGAACGGAGAGTGGATCGCACGAGAGAGATAATTTATTTGTTGAAGCCAATAAGTTGGTTGTACCAAATCAATTGAAAAGGGGAAATTTCATAATCTCTTCCGCACAAGGCGGGTTCAGGTGGGAAAAAAAATCTCGTTCGCTCGAAGGTGAGCTTATTGAAAAATAAACGACAAACAGAATTAGAAAATTCTATTATGAAATAGAATAATAATCTGAAATTGACATCGCTGTTCCCTTTCGAGAGCATTTAAATATCCTCGACTTCAATATTTCAAACGAGAAAAAGAGGGGTTTCGTTAGTTATGGAACAAAGCTGAAATTTTTCTTTTAGCGCGACAGATTCGGTAATTAATTTTCGAACGGCAGCCAATAATTCATCCATGCTTCGTTTTATTGCAAAACACGGGACGAAACATGATGCGATCGATAATAATACAGCGATACGAGACTAATAAAGTTCTAACGACAAGTATTATGTCTAGATAAAATAACGAGCGAAAGGAGTTTGCGATCTCATTCGATATAGGATGATTTAGTAATTTAGTCTAAACGTGATTTAGTCTGTGAAACTCGGCAAAGTGATAAGAAGTTATCTCGAATTAATTGGAAATGGAGATCAGTCACGATAACGAAAGTTACGTCATTCTAAAAGCGCAAATAATTGTATGGGCTCTAACACCATCCTAACTTTGACCATAGTTCTGATTATGGCTGCAGTAATAATGATCATATGATCACGACAAATAAATGGAGTGAAAGTAGTTCATCAAAAATAGATCGGAATATATAAAAAATCTGCATACTAAAAAATATGGATGTAGATTTAACAATATGAGTGTTAAATATAATTCTCATCATGTTGATATAAATACTAATAGAATGAATTCAATACCATATTGGTATTAAATCCATAAATATGACATACAGATATAAATGCATTTCCTGATATTAGTTTCTTTATTCCGTTAAAAAGAATTGGACATAGCATCCCTCTTCAATTCAATATTCTAGAGATAGAACAAGCCCTCTAAGAACACAAAAATAAAAAAAAAGCTTAAAAACAAAAATATATAACAAAAATACCACAAATAATACAGCAACAAATAATACAAATACAAATAAAATATAAAAATAAACTATATAAAAACTGAGAAGTGTTACAGAGTGAAAAACGAAAAGAAATTAAAATAATAATTAAAAATAAAAACTAGCTTGTCTCATACAGCAGGTGACTATTCGTTTAAATGCGCTTAGTATAACAGTATCTTAGATTCCCTAATGGTGATAGGACAATGAAAGAAGAGAGAGATAGATAGATAGATAGATAGATAGATAGATAGAGAGAGAGAGAGAGAGAGAGAGAGAGAGAGAGAGAGAGAGACAGCACGATATGTTTCAAGTTACATCACTCTTTCTAAACCGAGAGTGATAATTTCATAGAAATACGCAATCTATTTTTATTATGTCTACGATTAAATTCACACCCATAGTATCAAATCTACATATTGGTATTTATATCAACATCAATACAATGAAAATTATATAAATTGACATGATGTTAAATTCAAATCCATATTTTTTAGAGTGAAAAAGATATAAGGAAAATAGTTTATAGAATTGAAAATGTACATATTTAAAAATCTACATACACTCTAAAAAGTATCCATGTAAACACCATGTAGTGTTTATATATTTCTCACCGTGTTGTAGATATTATTATAATACCAACATAGAGAAGAATTATTATATAGATACGCATGCTATTAAATCCATACCGCATCAAGATCTGTCGACCAAATTTAGCACTTCCTTGTTTATTGTGTTATACAAGGAAAATGTTGGACATGCGGTTCGTATAATTTCAAACGGAACCGGAATAAAACTCTTTCGCGTATAGACACGAGAGACATTATTAAGAAAAAGCTTGCAATTGTGTGATCGCATTCGTGCAATCGTCACAATCCATTCAATCGGATCGAGGGCCGCGTGAAATGTCCCTCGTCAGTGCTTTTTCACTGCTCTAACGAGGTCTTGTTCATCCACCCTTTTCACCGTGTTCTTAAAAGCCTAGCGAGTCTTCATCTAACATCGTTCCTGGTCGATCCCCTTTCGCCGCCGGTACCATCGTCCGGTTCTCTCCTTTAACGACACGAACTTGATATCCCGTCTGCATATCGGAAAAGCCGTCGATCCGTCGGCTGGATAAAGTTTCGTTTTATTCGACGTATCGAAAAATCGAATCGACATTTCCCTTTTACAAGAGATCGCAGCGCGCGTGACCGACGCGACAGGGAACAGGACTCTTTAACAGGATGAAACGTCGAGTGAATTCACCGTTAATATTAATGCAGCTTATAGTGACCGATCGATTAATTAACGCGACTAGTATGGTGTCTAATCATTGTTTGGACGGAGAGTATTTCGTTGCGCAAACATATGATATAGTGGATAATGGCGGGAGTAAATAGGGGCACTATTGTAGCGCAGTTAGTTAGACTAACTGCGCGTTTAATTCAAGCTAACTGTTCAACTTCGAACTCTCAACAAGGATTCTCGCTCTTTATTCGATATTTATGTAATTAAAATTAAAACGTCGAGAATACAATAAATGGTAAAGATAAAAGAGAAAAGATTAAATGAATTAAGAATTAATTGACTGTAAATTCAGTTTTTATCTGACTTAATTAAAGGTTTAGATCACTACGAGATAATTTCACCATTTTCGTTTTTTCTTGTAATTGCAGAGTCGTTAATTAAGAATGCACAATGACGCAGCGAATTTATCCGTTGTCCACGAACCCCCGAGAGGGGTCACCGGATATCCAAATGGAGACGCTCAAAGAAAATCATTCTCCCTATCAAAGAAGAATCCTATCGAGATGTAAGTATTTTATAGTCCGATGTAAGTTCATTTAAAAGTCTTTTCATTTATCACGTTAATTGATGTGAAATTAAGTTGCGAATAATCGATTGTTGGATTCGTGAAAATAAAGTTTCACGAATTACTTAAAAAAATCTAATAGAATGTTACTTAATTTCATATCGCATAATGATGTAATATGCGATTTTTATTAATCAAATTTGAGTGACTTAACTCAAGTGGCTTAAGGCACAATTAGTCCTTGATGTGTGTTTCGTTTGCTTCAATGCAGAAGCTTGCACGGAAGAATTCGTTTTCGAGTTAAACGATTATGATTATCCATGAGTATCAATGTAGAATGATTATTTATCATCTCGCGTTTAAATTCAGAACAAAATCTTTTATTAAATATTAATACTGTAGACAGAAACATAATGATAAAAATAGCCAGCATTCAACAAAGAAGAGACAAGAATAATTAATAAAAACTAACGCAAATGTCGGAGCGCATTACCCAAGTAGAACAATAAATGATGTCATTTTGACGTTATCGCAAGTTATTGTTCTACTTAGATATATAAACATTTATTGTTGAAATATTATATAAGTATCACAATTGCAATCGCGAACATGTCGACCATGATTTTAGTCCTCTTCAGTGAACAAAAAATACAGAAAATATTAAAAATTAAAAGTCTAAAGAAATATTATAATTAAATAAAACATAAATTATATACATAAAGAACGATTTTGCTAAAGTATTTAAAACTTTAGCTACATACAGATCTAAAAATAATTTTGTTAAATCATCAAAATAATTATGTAAGAAATTCAAGTATGATGAGCTATTCTATCAAATGTATATGACATTCTAGCAATCAGTTTGAACGCTCTATATAACTATTTTGCTATTCCAACAAAAAATTATTTTTAAATCTATATTTAGCTAAATTTTTAATATTTCTAATTAAAAACCCGACACGTTAATTTGTATCTCGCATTTTTATATTGTATTTCATGCTCGTCCCACCAGAGCGAGAGACTGTCTCGTTTCGTCATAGTTTATGACATCGGATAGTTTATTACATAGCGCGCCGTCTGTACATATAAGTTAGTCCGCTATACACCTGCACTGTGAAAAGCTCTTATTATCCTGGTTTTTTAATAAATTAACTTTAATAAATTAACTTTAATAAATTAACTTTTTGTGCATCCTTAAAGTAATGGTTGGTTCAATTAATTTCATGCGTCCACTGAAACAGGATATAGGTTCAGGATACGGGTTCACTGCATGATACCACTACCTTTTTTTTTGTAATCTCTGTGTTTCGGTCATTCGAGGTGCGCGTTAAGAATTTCTCGACATCTCGTAATTCTCCAGTGAGAACTCATATGTGTCAAGTTGTCGACCTTTTTTTTTCTCAACACGCGTGCCACGATTTTGTTTGGTTCAACAAAAGATTGCGAGTTAGATTGAAACGAAGGGACAATGACGGACTCCCTAGACACGAAAAACGTGACGAAGTTCGACGGACAAAATTTCCAACAATGGAAATTTCAAATGAGAGAAATTTTCATAGAAAATGATCTACTCGATATAGTTAATGGGACGACAGTGAAGCCGGAGACAGCAGGAGAGCAACAAACTACTTGGTTACAAGAGAACGCCAAGGCAATGGTACTCTTATCATCCTCGATGCATTACTCGCAACTGAAATACCTAATTGCATGCGATAGCGCTGCTGAAATGTGGGCAAAACTATCGGCGATTTACGAACAGAGTGCAACAAGTAAATTACTATTTACAAGGTTTCACGAATATCGCATGAAACCCGTTGACTCAGTATCGCAGCACATCGCTAAAGTAGAGAACATGGCGAGAGAACTCAAAAATATCGACGAGGAGGTCTCCGATATTACAATAATAGCAAAAATCCTTGGATCTCTACCAGCCAAGTATAACACTTTCGTGACCGCTTGGAATAGCGTAGAAGCGGCCAATCAGACCATCTTTAACCTGACGCAAGGACTTATCAAGGAAGAGATGCGACTCACTGCAACCGATGAGACGGCGAGCGCGTTGGCGTTCAATCTGAAGCAACACAAGGAGAGATTGAAAAAAAAGCAGCAACAAGGAGATGGCCCCGAGCAAGTGAGGTATAAATATTACGAATATCGATACTGTCAAAGGGCACGTTGTCCCAGATTATAGGAAGAGACGCAATTATTAAAAAGATTGAGACGAAAAGAAACGCTACGCGAATAATAGGTACAGAAACAGTACCGGATCTCGACGCGTTTATTGCGAGTAACAATGGTCCTATTGTTTTTCGAAGAGTTCTGAACTAGTTCTGGACTAGTGCAATAAGTTAAAGTGAAACAAACTATATCCGTTTCATTCTAACTTATTGCACCAGTGTATATCAGTTTAGAATTTAGGATAGAAAAAGAATAAACCTAATTCTTCTGCGACCGATCATGTAAACACGGACTTATGGTTCTTCGACAGCAGTGCTTCGCAGCACATGAGTTTTCGAAATGGTTTGCGGAATTCAAGGATGATTGAACTGGTTTTCGGCATGTCTATTTTCTGCGGCATAAAGATGTTTAACGCACTCAAAGAATACGAGGCGATGGTCCTTAACAAATTCAGTCGAAGAATTTAAACAATACGCTCTGATAAACGTACGAAATATTCAAATTATCGTGTTCGTAATTATTTGAAAATTACGTGGTATTCAATTGGAATTTTCCGCATCATACTCTGAAACAAAATGGCATTTCAGAGCTTGAGATGCACATTATTGTCGAGAATGCTCGGACAATGTCGTTAGCAAAAAAAATTATCTGCTTGTCTCTGGACCAAAATTGTCAATACGGCTGTTTGTGTGCAGAACTTCATCTTCCCGATCGAAATTAATAACGTACGAAGCATGGACTGATAAGAATCTTTTGTACGTAAAAATTTTCGGGTGTGTATATTCATGTTTCGAAGAAAAAGTGGATCCAAAATAAAAAAGCTTATTTTTGTCAGTTACCAAGGCAATTCAAGAAGTTACGGACAGATTCAAAAATGAACAAAATAATCTCGTAAGACGTTAATTTTAATGAGTTTGCGCACACAGAATTTCGTACACAAAACATATCTTATCTAAGTGAGGAAAGCGTATCAATAACGACGGTGAACAACTAGAGCAACCAAATGACTTTATTCAACGCGATGCGAATCGGTGCGAGAATGAGCGACACGCGACGGATTCGGATGATAGTTCGCGACTAAGCTTGAGGCGTAGTTTATTGTTGCGCGCGCCATGTCGATACGAGGCTTGCTTTACCTTGCACGCTGAACTGAAAACGTACAATGAAGCGGTGATAGGGAAATACTGGGAAAAATGGATTCAAGCAATTCTTTGTGAAGAGTTAGCAGCTTATAAATAGAATCGAACGTGGGATATAACGCCTTTACTTCGCGATTGTAGAGTCATAGGATATAAGTGGGTATTCAAAATGAAAATTACGTCATTGGATGAAGTCGTACGTTATAAGACACGCTCAAGGATTTTTACAAAAGATAGGATTAGATTATGATGAAATTTTCTCTCCTGTCGTGCGATGATTCTGTTGAACGCTTTTGTCAGTCGCAGTTAACGACCTTGAAGTATATCAAATGTCAAAACTGCTTATTTAAAGCGAATTAAAAGAAGAAATTTATATGCATGTTCCTAAAGGTTTCTAAAAGTTGCGTTCTAGACAGCAATTCAGTATGCAAATTTAATAAAACGTCATACGGCTTGAAACAAGCCGGACGATGATGGAACAGAAAATTCGATGCGTTTTTAAAACAGTTCAAATTTATTCAAAGCGGCGCTGATAAGTGCGTTTACATCGAATCAATCAATAATGATAAGGCGTATCTTGCGCTATATGTAGACGACGGCTAATGGCCTCAAAATTGGAAACCATCAATCTAATCCTAGATATCCTAAAGGATAATTTCGACATTACCGCTAGATAGAGTCGATTATTTCGTGAGAATGCAAATCGATCGCACCAGCAAGGCGATTTTCATTCATCAAATATTGAATCAATTTTGCATAGATTCGCGACGCGCAAACTGTCAACGTACCCGCGGATTCCTACGTTATTTTAGAAAAGATCCATAGCAACGATGAATTGAATGATATCTCATACCATGAGGCCGTCAGGCCGCTCATGTTCATGTCAATCGTTTAGATATCCGACATATAGCGTACACTGTCAGGCTTGTAAATAGATATCATGTCTTAGCGCCGAGATATTACTGTGTTTCCAGATTTAGAAAAACATGGCAATCTTCATTAGCAAACCGTCAAGCGAATATTCCGATATTGAAAAGGTATCAGAAATCAAGGTATAATGTACAGAGGCAGTGGGAACGAATTCAAACTGGTTGGGTTCTCGGATTCCAATTACGCCAGCGGCAAAGATACTAAGCGCTCAACAACTTCATTTATTTATTTAAATTAGCAAACGGATCCGTCTTATGGTGCTCAAGACGACAGAACACAGAGTCTCAGCACCACTGAAGCGGAATTCGTTGTAGCGAGTGAAGCAGCACGAGAGGCGATTTGACTGCGCGAACTAACAATAAGTGATATCGGACATCAATGCAAAAAACCACTCTGTACAACAATCAAAGTGCGAGCAGGTTAACAGAAAATCCAGAGTTTCATCGATGTACGAAGCACATTGAGATTCGACCTCGTTTTATAATAGAGAAATATGCGAGCGAAGAAATTAATGTCTACGTATGTATGTAAGACCAAAAGGCGGACCTGTTAACCAAATCAAGCGTGTGATCACAAGAACTATGTAAAAATGTAATCGATATAATATCAAAAACGTTCAATCAGTGAAAATTAAACTCGACGCATTGATTTGTATCTTTGCATTTTTGTATTTCATGTTCGTCCCACCAAGGCAAGAGACTATTTCATGTAGTCATAGTCTATGATACTTACACATCGCGCCGTCCGTAAGTTAGCTGCCATAACGGCATTGTGAAAAGCTCCTGCTGTCTTGATTTACTTTCATAAACTTTTTGTGCATCTTTTTAAAATAGAGAGTGACTGGTTCAATTAATTATCTGCGTCCACTGGAATAACTTCAGTAAAACTTTTTCTATGTGGACGCTGATATTTGCAGAGTATTCAATATTTATGTAATATTTTAACAATAAATATCTAAACACTACGCTCCGACACTCGCTTGGCTGTCATTGGTTTTTTTTATTGATTTATAGAATAAATTTTTTTATTTCTATTTTTAATTATTGTTTCGTTGTTCGAATAGAAACAAGTAATTGTTGAATAAACATTAATATGTCAAGACTTTTTTAAACGAGCAATTATAGTTACTCCATAAAATAAAATTCGTTTTTAATTAAATAAATACAATACTATAAAGTTTTTTAAACGTTTCGACTTACGAAGTCTTCCTCAGTGAAATACATAACAACATTTTTGTACAACTCTTTACAAAGTTAATGAACTTACAATAATACAATAATAAAAATTATCGCTCTAGATTAATCTTACATATTTATTTCTTCGTTTAGATGTTACGGATTGAAATAAGTATCTAGTGAAGTTTGAAAGTCCAAATTATAAAAGTATGTTTTATTAAAATCTTCGATTATTATCGAGAATCCAGCTCAATCAATGATTTCATAAAAAATATACGATAGTCCAATTGAGAATTTTTTCAATGACTATCCTACTATATTCTGTATAATAAATGTCAATTTATAATTAAATGATTAGTATAATTAATTGAACATTAATGAGAAATTATGTTCACAGCTTACGTTAATTTATATAAAATAGTCTCTTAAATTAAAATCAAAATCAAAAACTGTGTATAATAAAACGAGTACAATAAAACAGCTCTTGGTTATCAAATGTTTTGAAATGGACTGATATTATAGGTCAAAGAATATAAATATATTATTAAGTCATGATAAAAACAAGTACCTATGTTCAAAAACATTATGAGCATATTTTTCTATATTGATTCACGCAGCTAAAATAATGCGTAGTAGAATGGACACTAAACAAAATTCATATAATCATCATAGATTTAATTTTAATTTTATTAAATTAACTTTTGCTATAAATATTTCTTTTTTTATTAAAATAATAGATTGACATGAAGTATACAATTGTGCTTATTGAAGCGTGTTCGAAACTTGAATTTTTGAGACATTATAAAAATCATGTCATTCCACCTCACTTAAATTACAATAAAAGTTAAGTCTACATCATCATATATCTATTAGAAGATATGACAGATGTCTTCGGATTTTAAAAAAGAAATTACTAGACATTGAAATTTTTGATCTTTAGAAACATTGACTTTTTGCAGAAAAAATTATCCTCTATAACTTGGAGCTTAATACATTCATTACCTAATTTTAACATTTGGTTTAACATCCTGGACCGATATAATAATTTATTCTATAATTGTAAAATAAGATTATTATTGAAACATAAAAAAAAATTTAATTTGTTGGTACACAAGAATAAAATTGATAATTCCAAAAAGATCCAATTGATACAATTTTCTTGCATCTTAAATAATAACGATAAAATTAATAAAATTTAGTCCTAACAAATCTGTTATTAGACCTAATGAGTTAATCAATTCAATTTGTTGAGACATCGATATCTTATCATAGTTTTTGATTTATTTATTATAATACATTAGTAATCTTATTCGTAATTGATCTAACGTAAGGAAATACAATCATTCCTTATTATTTCACCTTCATTTTTATTATTTGAATTATTGCACTCAGTTATTATTGTAGATCTATTGACTGCTAAGTTTTTAATTTTTTATTTTATAATTTAAACTTTCAAATTTCTGACTAGATACCTATTTCAATCCGTAACATCTAAACGAAGAAATAAGTATGTAAGATTAGCCTAGAGCGATAATTTATATTATTGTATTATTATAAGTTCGTTGACTTTGTAAGAGACTTTATAAAAATGTTGTTATGTATTTCACTGAGGAAGATTTTGTAAGTCGAAACGTTTGAAAAAATTTATAGTATTGTACTTATTTAATTAAAAACAAAAAAAGAATTTTATTTTATGAATAACTATAATTGCTCATTTAAAAAAGTCTTGACATATTAATTATATTGCATGTACATAAGCCTATTTTTCTATGGATAAACATTGTTTTACTAAAAAATTATAAAACGATAAAATAATTTCAAAGAACTAATCTAGAGTGAAAAATCATAAAAATATACTGGATTATTATGTTTTCTATCACAATTATATAATCATATTGTTATGCTTATCATAATTATATGAATATGCTTATCATAATTATATGGATAAAATTTAAAATGTTATTGCTAATAGCAAATTATATACTTTTCCAAATCGTTGTTTTTTTCGTGATTAATATGAGTAAAAAAATATTTAACTTTTTTTAAAAAACGAAGGTTTTCTTTGAAAATAATTGTACTTGCTCTTTTAAGCAAATAGATTAATATACCTAATGAGTACAAGTTCTCATTTAAGTTTCGTGATAAAAGTGAACTACGAATTATTCAATTAACTTACCGCCTGCGAGGAAAATGTATTAAGAGGCACTAAATGTCTTACTGTTGAAATTCCGAAGACCGGCATTCGTTTTAATGCTTTTACGAGAGTCACGACTAAGAAAGTTTCTCCAAAAGACAATCGATTACAGATCTTGTAAAATATAGGGGTCGTGACAGTGCCGTAACGAAATTTCGAATCAGAATTGCAAATAGTAGAAATCATCATTTTACTTAATTTCTTTTTATTGCATTATTTTATTATAAATCCGCGTAAGCGCGCAGCGAAATATTCTCAAAATAATACATATTTTTCTGGAAAAAAAAACCGGTAAAACAATAATCCATTTTCGGTATTTTCTGTCACGCTAAATATCTGCCTTCGATAATTTCTAAAATAAATTTTCGCGAACTTATGTTCGACGTAGCGAAACATAACTGACGCTAATACGCCATCTTCGAGTATACGCGGCACTGTTATTACGTCAGGTGGCAAAGCTTCCTATATTCCGTACCAATCGTAGATTTGTCGGGGGAGTTTCTAACAGCAATTACGTCGCTAATGGAGCCCCCACGGAGAGATGCTGGTCGACTTTCGCCAAAGTCTCTCATCCAGGACTACTCTTCTGGTTCCTGGACTTTGCGACGACGTCGAAACTTCCCGCGGATCCCGGATAGTTTTTGCGCTCCCGCCGAGTTACCCGGGAGCATCCTCATTGATCTTTAAATTGCGGATTTACGGAGATCCTCCGTTTGATTCACGATTTCTGACCAAAGGGATCTTGTTGGATGAGATTCGTCGAATCGGTTTCCTCGGAAAGGCAATAACAATTTTTATCTAAAAATGCGACCGCAATGAAGACAGATAAAGTTGTGTGTCTTTATTAATGGCTTTATTATCTATCTCTTAGCGGAAAGCATAGTAATCCAGTTGCATGACACGCGTGATATACGATTGGAAAATGTATAAAGACACTTCATACAATCCATTAATCTCGTTATTGCCATGTTAAATGTCTCGCCGTTAAATGCAGTAAACGGCGGTGACATATTATTTGCAGCACGCTTTGCATTTAAATGTGTCTGTGAATTTTTGTGTGTGTATGGTATCTTGTATATCTCATTTCAGACACGCGACAAGACAAGGAAAGGGATAAACACGAAGCCGAATACATGCTACAGGAAAATGGCAAAGCAGTGTATGAATAAGCTTGTTACAGATTGTGACGTATATATATATATGTATCTAAAAATATATAAATACGGGACACGTAGAAACTGGATAATGGATCATTGTGTGCGACAGGGCTCGCCAGCTTATTAACGTTTCGACACAGCCAGAGGAGGCTCGCATAAAACTTTTACGGACCGTATACGGTTTCGTATGGGGGCAAACGCATGCTTTTTACGAGAATACTTCCGGCATCGAAATCTTCTTATCCCTTTTATCGTAACTGTAAAAGTAACCGCGCCACGCCCGTTTATTGCCCCATTTTTTACGTGGCTACACGCGATTCCAGATGTTGTTAAATGTCCTGGCACGATAGCTTCTAGTCCATTCCGATAGCTCCTAATCAGGGCTATCCATTCCTTGTTAGATTTTTTAAATTCCTTTCTCTACCATCACAAGAAATATATTCAATCTTGTTATTTTTAGCAAATCAACGAACAGTGAAAATAGACGAGACTCTATTTCGGTGCATTTTTTGACAAATTTAAAATGATATGTCACATTCTCTGAGAATTTTTTTTTATACGGAAAGAATGATTTTGATGAAGTATCTAAAAATTTAGCTAAATATACAGTCTGAAAATAATTTTGTTGGGCCATGAAAATAATTATGTAGGATGTTCAAGTATTATATAATTAGGAATGCTGCAAAAAATTTTGATATTTATAAAATTGAAAAATGTATTTGTAAATTTATATACGAACATTATTATACGAGCATTAACATTCACTTTAACTAAAAATAGGACTTTTTTATTTGATATTTTAGTAGCTTGAGTTACATAATTATTTTGATGGTCTAACAAAATTATTCTCTCTTTCTCTCTCTCTCTCTCTCTCTCTCTCTCTCTCTTTCTGTCTCTCTACCTAGCCAAAGTTTTATAGACATTTTAGCAAAATCGTTCTTTTCATGTAGAAAAACGTGGGAAAAATTTAGCGAATATAAATATCGAATATTTATTTTAAGAATTTGATTAACAATCGATTTGCATTTGTCAATAGGGAATTTATGTCATCGGAAACAAAGGAGACGGAGGAGGAGGATAAACCAGCTTCAGAATCGTCTTCGCTGGTACCTGTGCCTTACTACAAACTGGTGAGTTTTCCCCGTTAGAATAATTTATGAATGTGTCCGAGTCGAATTTCAAGCGCGATACTCCCTGTGGCAGAAGCCGGTATATTTGAGGAATCAAGAATATATATATATGGGATGTTCCTTATCGTTTTTTCATTCTTCCTTTCTTCTATAATATAGATTCTTTGTTTAAAGCCAGAGTCGCTTTTCTGAATATTAATCGCCTTATAACATGGGAAATATCAGAGCATCAATGATCTCCTTAAGATATTTAACTGTACTCAATTAAAAACATCAAATAAAAAATCAGCCAAAGAAATAATATCAGTTAAAAAATTTTATCATAACCACATCATAAAACCAACTGCTAAAAACAAATTATTTGATTTTTAATAGCTTATACAGTGCAATCATATTTTGCTGCAATTTTAGGTAAATAATTTTTAAACGAGTAAGTGGATCTATACACACACACACACACACACACACACACACACACACACATACACATACAAAAGAACTTTTGTACAAATATTTATTAAAGTTCTGTTAGTATAATAAAATGAATTTGATTTAATTTGTAATGCTACTTTCTTCATCAAATTTGTAAATAAGTACTACAAAATACTGTTTCAGATAAAAATCAAGGCAGTCAACAAAATTAAAGAACTTTTAAATAAGAGAATTGTGTTAAAATTTTATACAGATATTCGAACGTATCATAATAATAGAACAATCTAAAATTTTTAATTATAGTAATTATAGTAATGTTGAGTTGTAACACATACATCTTTAAGGTACCGATCCTAACGAAGCGAATGCGATTGAAAGTTTTACACCCTGTATATTCTTTTCCTATATCGCGTTATAAACAAAATGGAGCACGCAGGATGGAGTGATCCACCAACAAAGCCGTTAAATCACATCGACTGTGGAGCATCTTTGAATGAGCGATAATGATTAATGATACTGCTCTCTGTGATAAACGACAGTTAATGACTCATTGCCATTGGATACATTTGTATAATTTTCCGCATTATAATTCTCACTTAATAGACCGTAAACCCTCTTGTACATTCGAGAATTAAACTTGGACGATATTTTTCATGACACCGTAAATTTGAATATATTTTTCGGTCAATTATGATTGTTCTTGCATAGGAGTAGGTTGCGTGGCTGCTCGTTAATCATGGTTAAGCCGAGTATTAATTTTCCAAGCTAAATCTCTCGGAAAGCACGAATCCACGTTGCTGAATCATTCAAAAACGCGAGTTTGCCACGTCGAATAACTCGTAAACGTGCTTGCTCGAAACTTTTGGAAAAAGAACACTTCACGTTTCAAACGCACACCGATCTCATGTTTTCTCTCTCTTTTTCTCTCATATTCTTATGGATACGTATATCTCAATAAATTTCATATATCTGCGCTATTTGTAAATTATAATATTTGCAACGAACACGTAAATTGCACTGCACACGTGGCTAAAGAAAAAGACATAAGCAATTATAAAATTTATAACTGTATGACCTCTACAGCACAAAAGCAACATTGCTGCAACACTGCAGCAATATTGCAGAGATTTTACAGCGATATTGCTGCAAATTCTGTATAAGAAGTTTTATATATAGAATTAATATACTTCAGTTAATTAAATATTATATATTAATTAAATAAAATAAAAAAATTAGTTAAATTATTTAAACATAGTTCAATTATTTTGAAGTTATTGTAACTACAATAACTACAAAATGATTGGTTTGTATTCGTTTGTACCATCTTTCTTTTCGTTTGTACCTTAAAGTTAAAAATTATGAAGGGTTGAAAAAATGCTAGCACTTCACTTTAAGATATTTTAAATTTAAATAGCTCTCATCCCTATTTTAAAAATTCGGTACAATCACCCCTTTGAGAGTACAAATTAAAAAAAAGGTGGTACAAACGGGTACAAATCCCGAAACAGCACCCATTTACAGATTAAAAATAAACGAGTATTAAAGTGGGGTGCTGGCATTTTTTTCAATCTTTTATAATTTTTAACCCCTTGAGGTAAAAAGAAAGGTGGTATAAACGGATACAAATCGAATTTAATTTAATACATAACAAAAAAATTTTTTTTCTTAAAGTCGAGTGCCAGGTTTACATAGGTTTAAGTAGTATCCTATATAATTATTTTGATGGTCCCACAAAATTATTTTAAGATTTGTATCTAGTTAAATTTTCAGATACTTCAACAAAACTGAATTCTTTCCGTGTTTTTTTTTCTAAATGTTGTGTTATAACTGTCATTTATCACGCTGAACTCTCATTGCCAATTATTACATTCTTAAACTTTTTACATTACCGAAAATCTTTATTATATTATCAAAAACTTCTTTCATTGTAATTATGTTTTGATTGTTCCAAACTTATCACAGTTCCGTTTTGCGACGTGGGGCGAGTTGATGCTGATCCTCTTAAGCCTGATACTGGGTGGTTTTACAGGCTTAAGTATTCCAATTGCAATTATTCAATATGGAGAATTCAGCAATATGCTATTGGATCGTACTAGACCGAACGACACAACTACACCAACCATCATATTACCATTATTTGGTGGTGGGAAGATTTTGTAAGTAATATTTTATCTTTTTATTTCTTTGTAAGTTAATAATTATCCTACGAAATACGTTTTATAACAATAAGAAAAACATATATTAACAAGAACAGAAATATATATTACGTAATAGATTCCTCAAGACAGATTCTCTTAAACATCGAATTGAAGGGACAACAGAGTGTTATTTTATTTTGACACAAAGCGTTATTTATTTCAGATATGCTAATGCAACTGATGAAGAGAGAATGGACGCTCTATATGACGATTCGGTGGCCTTTGGCGCCTCTTGTGCAGCAATATCAGCGATTATGTTCGTCCTTAGCATGCTTATGGTCGATGTACTCAATATCGCCGCATCCAGACAAATTTCAAGAATTCGTAAGATATTTCTGAAAGCCGTTCTCAGGCAGGACATGTCGTGGTACGATACGAACACATCAACTAATTTCGCAAGCAGAATCAACGAGTGAGTTTTCTTCTTATTGTTACGCAAATATACCGTATCGTATCGCGGATTGAAAATAACAGGAGTTACCTCGATGGCAAAATTTGCATGGGTTCGTTTATTCAATTCTTAAATGCCTTTTCAGTATGCCATACCGGTTGGTTTTCCTTTTCCCAATATTTTTTCAATACTTTTTCCATATGCTTGTAACTTTTTTTATTAATACATTTGCTTGGTACTGTTTTATCAGGGAAAAACGATTTTGCTAAAAATTTAGCTAGAACTGGAAATAATAAAAATGATCTGAAAATAAATAATTTTGTTGAACCATCAAAATAATATTATGTATACTTAAGTTGATTATTAGAATGTCAAACTTTTTTGTAGCATTGCCCATACTTGAATTTCTACAAATTATTTTGATAGTCGAACAAAATTATTTTCAGATATGTATCTATCTAAATTTTTACACGAAAAGAACAATTTTGCTGAAGTATTTAAAAATTAGCTAGATACAGATCTAAAAATTTTGTTGGACCAAAAATAATTTTGGAATAAGAATCTTAAGTATAATGAGTAATGCTACAAAATGGTTTAATATTTTAACAATTTTAATGTAACGTAATCCTACGTAATTATTTTGACAGTTCAGCAAAATTATTTTCAGATTTGTATCTGCTAAAATTTTAAATATTTCAACAAAACCGTTTTTTCCGTGTGACGTTTAAGGATTAAAAAGGGGATATTATAACTTTCCGGATTTGATGCTAAAATTTGTAACACAGTTACTGACGCGGTCTATAAGACCTATTTAATTTATGTTAATTAAAAAATATTAATTAATCTTAAGGAATCAAAATGTCATAATTTGCATAAAAAAAGAATAAATATTTAATATATTTTAATAAAACTAAGTTTCTGTAACATAAAGAAACTTTTTGACAAAGAGATTTATATAATTGAATTGATTCAATTTTTTTTAACCTATTGTCAGCTCCGGAAAGTTAAAAAAAATTTGAAATTGTATAAATCTTCCGCTCGTTAATAACGTATTGAATAATTTCGGCGTTAAGCAAAGATCTAATAAAGATTAACAGTTCCGACGATACCATCTCTCGTTTCCGCGGAATAATTTTAATGGGGAGGATATTCTGTACGTTCACACGCCAATGCGTCCTCAAAGCGAGAACGTTGTACCTTCGATTTTCGAGACTGTCGATGTAAACGCAGGGCAGTCGCGGGAGGAGAAGCGAAGAGCAAAGTTCAGGAGGCGAGAACCTGTGTGTTCATCAACAGGTGGGCGTTTGCTCGAAACTCGAAAAGCCTGTTCCCACACTGTCTCTGCTTCCGCTTGCATTACACCGTATAGTAATTGGATGAGCGACTCGTATTAAGTTATTAGTCGTGTAAATCGCAAGTATATTAATTTTTATTTCGAGATAACCGGTCTCGTTATTCGTCCCATGATTCTATTTTCATATCACGATAAAGATAGAAAGAAAACATGAAACAAAAAAGATAATTATTGTGCTTTAATATATCATTATGCGCAATTAAGCTAGGAACACATAAAAAATGTAAAGCAATAAGTCTTAAGCAGTAAACGAGTCGATCAATCATAGTAAAATAGTTCTGTACTGTGATTGGCCGATTCGCTTACTGCTTACGTCCATTCTACAATTGTGTAAGCGTAGTTCTAAGAATTAACCAATCACAGTTAAATATGAAGAAAATATTTGACCGTGATTAGTCTATTCTTACAACTAGAATAGGCTTTACAGCTTTATATTTTTTATGTGTTTCTGGTGTTTACAGTTTTTACAAACTGTCTGCAACAAACATGATAACAGCAATGTCGTTATCACGTATTTTGCTATCTAGAAAATATATAGACGTATCTATAGTAGAATGTACACACATCGATCGACTATTTTTCATTGGCCAGCTATCGATTGTCCAGCAACAGCTGGCGTGATATAAAGATTTTAATCTTGTGGCAGATGGAGTGCAAAAAACGTGAGATTGCAATAACGCTGACAATGACAGATGCTGATAAATGTCAAATTTGATCAAAACTCAATTTTGTAGCTTCGAACACGTGCTTGCTTTAAAGTTGAATCTCAGGATCTTATTATGTAAAAGTTCTTATTATGTAAAAATGATATTGAGTCGAAATTAGATCGCGTAGAAGAACATAGGATTTATTTAATTATTATATTATCAGATATACAATAGAAAAAAATGTCTTTTAACAGAGATTTGGAAAAAATGAAGGACGGAATGGGCGAAAAACTTAGTATCATCACGTATCTAATCACTTCGTTCGTCTCTTCTGTCATCATCTCGTTTGTATACGGTTGGCTGCTGACCCTGGTCATGTTAAGCTGTGCTCCGATCATAATAATCGCCACGGCCTTTGTCGCTAAGGTGCAGAGTTCTCTCTCGGCTATGGAGCTGGCGGCCTATGGTCAGGCTGGTAGCGTCGCCGAGGAAGTTCTTGCTTCTATCAGGACCGTGGTTGCCTTTAACGGCGAGAAGAAAGAGGTACAAAGGTACTCGGAGAAGCTTGCACCAGCGGAAAAAAATGGAATCAGGAGGGGCATGTGGTCAGGAATCGGCGGCGGCGTCATGTGGCTGATCATTTATCTCAGCTATGCGTTGGCATTCTGGTGAGGATACGCGTTATTATCGCAAAAAAGCACGTTTCGCGTTATCTTTATATCTGAATAAGTCTGTGCTCTACAGATACCTTGTAAAATTTAATAACTTAAACGAAAAGTATCAAAGATACCTACATCATGCGTGTAAGTCGTAATTAAAAATTCAATTGCCCGTGATAAGAAATTGTTCCTTTACTCCAAAAGTGATTCAAATAAAAAAAAACGTGATTTTCGAGCTATTATAATAAATAAGTTAAATAAATATTATCTTTAATCATCAAAAGTGAACTAACTTAATTTCATAAAAAATTGGATTTCAAAATTGTCAAAAACTCAAAAAGAGGTAATTAAAAAAATTGAAAACAATTCAAAAAAAACTTTTTGGCCTAAGATTTTTATTGAGATTTATACAAGGCTTTGAAAAAAATGTTGAGAAATTCAGGATTGTATTTCAACATCTATATATTATTAAATAGTTTTTAATTATTCAAATCCTTTATTTAATAAAGTTGAAAGAGTAAAAATGAAGAAAAAATTTGAGAATAAAATTGTGCTAGTATCATAAGATTTTGATTGTAGACAGAAGGTTAATAATAATTTTCTATGAAGTTGATAGATAATTTTTCCCTTTTTCTGATAAACATAATTTTTCCAGTTATCACATTTTTTAATAAGGAAGCGATATGTCACTCAATGAGCTATAATGAACTGATTATTCTGACGTTATAGTCTCAAATGTAATTATTTCGCTTGGATTGTATAATACAATACCTTAATTTAACAACATGAATAAAGCAATTTCCATTTTTCAAATATAAAAACCACGGGATAGATAATTGGACATTTACGTCTGGAATAGCATCACTCCTTTTTACGCAGTTCGATGAAAAAAGCGTTACCTTTCGCGAGGACGTGTCGTATTCCGGCAAGAAGCACATTTTCCCTTGTGCCGCAGGTACGGAGTAAAATTAATTCTGGACGACCGCTCGAATGAAGACAAAGAATACACGCCAGCAGTATTAGTGATCGTGTTCTTCGGCGTTCTGAGCGGTGCACAAAACATGGGCTTGACTTCACCGCATCTCGAGGCATTCGCGATGGCCAGAGGTTCAGCGGCTGCCGTTTTCAATGTTATCGATCGGGTGCCATCGATCGACAGTCTCAGCACGGAGGGTCGACGGCTTGACTCTGTTAATGGAGAAATCGAATTTAGAAACATCGCGTTTCGTTACCCGGCAAGGAAAGATGTCAAGGTGCTTCAAGCACTGAATCTGAAAATCAATCGTGGCGAAACAGTGGCGCTCGTCGGCGAATCTGGATGTGGCAAATCGACATGTATACAGCTCATCCAACGGCTCTATGATCCCCTTGATGGACAGGTCAGTAACTCATTATTAATTAGATTCATTAAGCGGATTCTTTTTTCTTGCCATAACATTGAGAGAAATGTTTGGTATGAATAACCATTATTTTCAAGAAGATTATTGACCTTTTCTGTTCGTTATTTATTGACAAGTTATTAACAAAATAATTTTTACGAATATAGCACACAATTTTTACACAAGATATACATTATTTCAGCAGTATTTCCGATAAAAATATATAAAAGAAGAGCAACCTTGATGACTTTGATCTCGATGTATTTTGTGAAGGTCATGATCCTAAGTAACTTTGAAAAGATTTTAGTTGCCGCTTAAAAAGTTCATCCATTAAAAAGTTATTAAAAAAAAATTCATAAAACGTAACTTTTAAATATTCTGCTCCAATGAAACAAATTCTCTGGTTTAAAAACGCAATTATGTTCTTATATAATTTTTGTGCTTTTAAAGCAGAGAATTTGTGTTTTTAAAGTAGAGAATTTTTAAATACGTACACAAATTTTCTGTTTTAAAAACATAAAAATTATTTTGTTTTTATTTTTTTAATGAATAAGGAATGACAAAAAAAGTTAATAACCTCCTTAAGGATCAAGGTCACTTGAAATTCATTTGAGGCTAGCTATGTAATGACGAAGTTTTATCCCATTATTTTGTTGATATGTAAATTACAAAAACTTTCTTATTTTTTAAATCCCTATTCTGTAACTCTTAATGACAGTAACTACTTATATTGTCGTTGTATAACTTTTTCATCATATACAAAACCTGATCTGCGCAACAACAATATAACGATATCATTATAATCGTTAAGAATTACAGAATAGAGAAGGGGTCTAAATTAAAAAAAAAATCAAATTTTGATTGAAAACACAATTGTTTAATTAAAAAATAATGTTCTAATCAATTTTTGGTTAAAATAATCTAATTTTTATGAGAACAGCATAATTTTTTATTAAAAAATAAAAAAAGTTTCTGTAACTCGCTTATCAACAAAATAATGGTTATTCATATATCAAACATTTCTCTCAGTGAAGGAAAATTCGCCGCTTCGTTAGAATTATTCATTTTAAATACGTGTACGTATTTAAAAGACGTGTACGCAGTGCGGAACAAAGAGTGCTTTAATTTAAAGGCACAAAAATTTTGGCTACCGCATTTAATTTTTTGTTTATACGAAAGACTTACTGTAAACTTGGTTTATGGAATTCTTTTAATGGCAAAAGCATATAGAGGCAGAGAACTCGCATGCTATGACGGGCGTTGTTACGCAGAGAATAAAGTTAATAACCGCGCATATAGCGTCATAAATGTCCGAGTGACGTTTTTATCCCTCGCGAAATTACAGTGACGCTGAATAAATGGCATTGCGCTGCGGTAATTTACTCTGGCGTTATTCAGAAAATAATTGTTTTATCATAATCATCTCCGTATTATATTTTTCATAATTTTCTGTCGAACGTCTTCAACCGTTATCTTATCATTCGATTCACTTATCCTGTTTGTATTTTCACAACGAGGAAAATTCGCGAGAAAACGGCAAATTCCTTCCGCCGTGTTCTTTCGTAGGAAAGAGAGACGATCGAGATGCATCGTGTACAGTGAAGAGTGTCGTTACAATGTTATTATTAATGCGATCCCGCGATTTTTACGGCGCCAAAGTAGCTGTTGGCAGTAACGCAGCATCCTACGTGTAATAAACGTTTTATGTTTTATAACTTGAGGCTTTTCACCACGCCCTATCCAACGAATATATTATGTTTGTGTGTTCAATAAAGTTACGAACTATAAGTTTGCTTTTAGTTACGTGTAATATTAAACATCATGTACATACAATATATGCACTTTATCATAGATCCATGCTGCAGAGATATAAAAACATAATGATTATTTTTTTATCATTATGTTATTTTATGTACATACTAACTTTACTGCACATTTTTAAAATTCTTTTTATTAATTTCATAAGTCTATCATATTTAATATTGCTAATACCATATTTTAATGTTGTTATTATAATTCGAGATTTATTAAATAACTAAGATTGAAAAAATATATTGCTCCGTTACTTTAAAAGTAACACAACTACAAAAAATTAAGTTTCCCGTAAAAGGGAAAAAACTATTTTTCAAGTTGACAAAAAATTATTGGCTAATCAAATTGATAAAAAGAATATATTCTTAATATAATGAAATATTATTTTTGTCATTTTCGTTTCGCATAAAGAAAGAAATTTTGCTAAATACCTATAGATAAAAATAATTTCATTAGATGATCATAATAATTATTGAAAATTAATAATGACAAAAAATTTTTATATTCTAGAAATCGAGTTTCCAATAGAAATTATTTTGATAATCCGACAAAATTATTTTCAGGTCTGTATATATCTTAGCAAAATTTAAAATCTTTCAAAACCTTCTTTCCATGCTTTTTAAAAAATCGTCCTTCCCGACGATTTTTTTTAAACCATCTTTTTTGAATTGTGATGTATAACAATTTTTTTATAAAATTAAGTTAGTTCACTTTTGATGATTGATAGAGTAAATTTATCTAATTCATTCGGGATAACTAAAAAATGATATTAATTAATAATAGTAACGTTTATTTTCAAACATAATTTTCAAATCATTATTTCAACTAACAATTCTCGTTTCGCGCAAAACGTTAGCCTGTCAGCTCGGCATATGTGTGTACAGATGGAGAGAATTTTCAAGAGTTTCCATATTTTTCTATGCAGGTCCTGCTGGACGGGGTCGACGTGTCGACATTGAACGTTCAATGGCTGCGCTCGCATATCGGCGTAGTTGGTCAAGAACCAGTCCTCTTTGACACAACGATACGCGAGAACATCCGTTACGGAAATGACAGCATTACCGAAGAGGAGATGATCAAAGCCGCAAAGGAAGCGAACGCTCACGACTTCATCTGTAAATTGCCGGAGGTGAGCGCCACCGCCCTTTTCTCGTATTCCAGCTGCGCCTTTACCCATCCGGAATTATAGCTTCCTTTTAGTCGACGTGAGAGTTCGATTGATTCAACCAGTTTCATTCGGGAAGTCATAGAGCCAACGGATACGTCGACGTTGTCACCCTATCGAAAACCCAACGAAGATATTGTATTCGTTCGGTATTGTCTCTTCTGCCGAAACTCTTCAACGTTAGTTTGCTTGGAATATGTTAAACTATTGCAGAACGAATATAATCACTAGTTAAGCTAATGACTTACATAAAAGAATGTAAGTCAACATTTTTTACTTGTTATATAGAAGAAACGGTTTTGCTAAAGTATTTAAAAAATTTAAATACAAATTTAAAAATAATTTCGTTAAATAATTATCAAAAGAAACTGTCTATTATCACTGGCCTAATGATTATTATTATTTACAATCACACGAGAGGACAATGCTTGAATTTAAAATCGAGTTAATATTAGTAGAATATTTTAATTTCGACAGTCTATAAAAGAAGATCTATACAATTTTTTATTTTTTCGCAATTGTTTGTTTTATTTCTACATTTTCTTATGTGTATTTTTCTTCATGGAAATCAAAAATTATCATAAGTTTTTAAATGATTGAAGCATAACGATTTCGTAATAATGTGAATAAAGATTTTATTAACTTTGAATCAATGTATCAATTTTTTTTGAGTGTAGTGTCATTATTATAACAATTTTCAGTTTCCATGAAAAGAAATACGTAAGAAAATATAGAAATAAAAGAATTTTCGAATGATCGAAAAAAGTTGTATCTTTTTTTGTTATCGCAAGAAGCTGCGATAACAAAAAATTCGAATGTTAATCGATGAAATCTCATTGGACGCGGGCGGGTTTTGAGATTTCTGTGAGCATAATTGAAAAGATAAACAAATAACGATTAACAAGTAACGAAAGAGATAGTGTAATTTTCCTGAATAATCCCCCGACTGGATACAACCATTGTCATCGCATTGCGATATGTTAACAATAGTCTCAGGTGTGCCAGGCAGTCCACGCGGTACGCGCGCAAACAGGCGATAAAACACGCGTGTTAAATTGTGCGCGGGGCAAATAACATTATCCGAGATTACGCTTGTGTCAACGATTAGGCGTTTATTAGCGGATTATCGGTAGGTGAATTCAATACTCGCGTATTCCCATATTAGTCCCATTGGATCGTTGTCCGCGTTCGCACACACATTGGAGCTTATCCGCTCGCACGTTCGCACGCGCTGCAATTTAACGTGCAGCTTCATTTTCACCATTAGAAAAATAAAGTTTGCTCGATATGAGTTCATCAGGATTGTAATTAGTCAACATGCTCCACCTGCACTGCCGCGATAACGTTTTTGGACAATAACTACGATATCTGTTAAATCGCATTGTAAATGGATTTGATGGATATCGTAATAACAGAAATCCCGTTAACTGGAAGCTCTTAGCTTTTTGTTAGATCCGACTTGCCTGCGGAAAGATCACTGATCGAGAAACGCCTCTATCAACGGATGTGTTGCAGGTTGCGAATTTATTAAATGCATGCACCACAGGTGTGACATGCTATTTCGTTCTTGATTAAATACCTGTTACTTTGAACCGCAAATTGTTCGAAAACTGTCATCGGGTGATTGGTGGCATATAGCCGACACCAAATGTGCACAAAGAGCGATTTGCAAATTTGAATTTTAAAAAGTACAAAAAGGAAGGTATTGCACGATAAAAGAAAAAAGCAAAAAAAGATATTCGTTGAAATATTTGCGATAAAATTGAATTGCTAAGATGTCGTTAATATCTTACTATTGCGAAAAAAATTTTCGTGAAATATGCGAAAATATCTTTTTACTTATTTCAGGAACTGTTTGTAATAATTTCAACTTAAAATTCAAATAATGTAATTAAAATTTACATGGTTGCCACTGATAATCAGGAAAATAGAAAACAGTCAAAGAAACTAGGAAAAAGTCAGAGAATTTTGCAAAATTTTCTGGAGAGAGAAAATTAGAATTCTTGCTTTTAAAGAAGTATAATATACATACAATTATGCAATTTTAGAATACTACCAAATTTCGACCGTGTTCGTATTTTACTGCCAGTCATCAGTACAGTATAATATACGTAACGGAAACTATAGATTTTCAGTACTGATAATCTGGCAGTAATATACGAACATGGCCTTAATTAAAGTAGTGTCAACATTGATAGTAATTTATTGTTATGTCAAATTGTCCTCTCAAAATATTTGACGGTTTCGAAATCAGGACGAAACTACAAAAAAATTTCGAAATATTATTAAAAACGTTGACAAGAAAAATCATGAAATTTTGTTTGGAAATAAGGGAAAGATTATGAAATTTTAGAATGAGGAATTTGTGGCGCGCAACCCTTAATTCAGAATCCACAATACTAATAACAGACAATTCGAGAGAATTACTATCGATTTCGAAAATCTATCTTTCTTGAGACACGCACATTTTGCGATGTCGCATTCTAATGTCAATTCGTGCACGAGGATCAGGAATCTAAAGCAGGTTTGTGGACAGGGATACGATAGTCCAGTGGGCGAAAGAGGCTCTCAGATGTCTGGTGGACAAAAGCAAAGGATTGCCATTGCTCGCGCGTTGGCGAGGAATCCGGCGATCCTTCTGCTGGACGAGGCGACGTCTGCTTTGGACGTTCACAGCGAGGCGATTGTGCAGAGAGCTCTCGACGCGGCAGCGAAGGGAAGAACAACGATTATAGTCAGTCACAGACTTTCCACTATTACGAACGTCGATAGAATCGTGTTTATCAAGGATGGGGTCGTCGTCGAGGAAGGAACCCACGATGAATTAATGGCGCTCAAAAATCATTATTACGGACTGCATTCCACACACGCAGATGCTGCAGCTAAAGGTGCGCTTTAGCTCACAAACGTTTTGCATCGATGTTTTTGTGAACCTTTAGGTATACAATAAATTTTTTGTTATTCGCTATTGTATAGATAAGGTCCCGAAGGTCAAGACTATTGCGTCAACCCCGAAGATGAAGATAAAACCACCGTTAAATCAACAATTCTCAACATTATCCGCGCACTCTCATCGACTCTCTCTCACGAGATCTTCGAATGAGGAGGAATTGGACGAGGAGGAGAAACCTTACGACGCGCCTATGATGAGAATATTTGGATTAAATAAACCGGAATGGCCATTAAATTTAATCGGTAATTTCTTGCTAACGAAAACAAGTGATAGTGATCTGTTAAGAGTTTAAGTCTTATGAAAGCATAGGGAATATACATTACTTCTTTCATTAATAAAAAAATAACCAATCATTTTCCTTTAATACAAATTCTATCCTTATTGGAATACAATTATATAATGCTTGAATGATCATTAATGCATTTAGGTATGGAATTGTTAGCATCTTATATAAGACATTTATAACATTATATAACATTACTTATATCTAAGTAATTGAGAGATATTCTAATAAAAAAAGATAGTACATCTCTCGATAACATGGAATATTCCAGCAATGTTGCAATGTTGCTGACGTTGTTATAATATTACAGGAATATCCCATGCTATCTGGGAAATGTTATACTATTCTTTTAATAGAACATTTTTCAGTTACTTATATACGTAATATGATATAAGTGTTAAAGAAGGAAATTTGCTTCTCACTCTATTTTCCAAAATTGCCCTATTCTCCAAAACTTTAACATTTCTTCCAGCCAGCGCAATTATCTAACTTAAATATCATTGAATATCATTATGGACAGAATTTTGAAAAGCATGAGTAAAAAGCAAATTTTCTTCACCAATATTTCTTAAACAGAAGATGTTCTGCTAGAAAAGTGATATGACATTGCATTGATGATTGTGTGACTCTATCTTAACAAGAATAGACAATTTGTAAAAAGAAAAAAATAATCTACATCTTAAACGATTTCTTACAGGAAGTCTCGCGGCGGCGACAGTAGGTGCTTCCTTTCCAGCTTTTGCCATTTTATTCGGTGACATTTACGGTATATTGAATTTTCCCGACGCCGAGGAAGTCATGAAGGAGACCATTTTCTTGTCAATACTCTTCATCGTCGTCGGCTTAATTACAGGAGTTGGCACTTTCCTGCAGATGCACATGTTCGGTCTAGCTGGCGTGCGTATGACGACGCGAATAAGAAAGATGACGTTCAGCGCGATGTTAAAGCAGGATATGGGCTGGTACGACGAGGACAAAAATAGCGTAGGTGCGCTCTGTGCGAGGTTGTCATCGGATGCGGCGGCTGTCCAGGGTGCGACCGGGACTCGCATCGGCTCCATGCTCCAGGCTTTCTCGACACTTGTGATCGGGATCAGCATATCCATGTACTACAGCTGGAAGATGACGCTGGTCGCAGTAGTGTCGATCCCACTGGTCCTCGCGGCGGTATTCTTCGAGGCGCGGGTCATGGGCGGTCAAGGTATGCAGGAAAAGAAGAAGATGGAGTCAGCCACCCGAGTGGCCATTGAGGCAATAACAAACATACGTACGGTTGCCAGTCTCAACAAGGAAGAAGTATTCTTGAAAAGATACTGTGTAGAACTGGACCACGTTGCACGAGCGATGAGAATCAGAAACAGACTGAGAGGATTGGTCTATTCGTGTGGACAGACCATGCCAATGTTCAGTTACGCTATAAGTCTATATTATGGTGGCTACCTAGTAGCCAGGGAAGGATTAAGCTACGAAAAAGTCATCAAGATATCGGAAGCGTTAATTTTTGGGTCATGGATGCTGGGACAGGCGCTCGCCTTCGCGCCAAACTTCAACACAGCCAAAATTTCGGCCGGCAAAATCTTCAAGCTACTCGACAGAGTTCCGGAAATTACTTCGCCACCGGGATCAGAAGGAAAGGATTTAGATTGGGTAAGCTCGCATTTTCGGCGTGTAAGCTTAGTTACATAAACCACAAGTACACAATGTGTTTTGGCTTCGTGCACTTTCTCTCTATCCTGTATATACACATATTTAGCGGTAGGTAATTAAATAAATAATATTTGGGAGATTCAAATCGCAGCTAAGTTTGGACAACCAATATGTTTGATAATGTTGAATAATAATAATGATAAAAGATAAGACATGTAATTAAATTTTGCTGAGAGAAGAATGGAAAATTCGCCAAAGAATGTAAAGCGATAAAGCACAGGACATGTACAGTAATTAGCTTTAACTTTTAATTAATCTCTTACAAAGTTAATCGAAATTCACGCGACAATGAACACAACATTTAAATTGGCTACTAAATTGTAAAATTATTAGCCTTATTTTAACATACGTGCCGATAGTTGTTATTGGACGCGATTCGTGTATTTCATTGCGGAATAATTTCTCTTATAAATGAAGTAAATTCTAGTTCCCAAATGGATAATCAAATTACTAAAATTGATTGAATTAATGAAGAAATATTTAAATATTTCAGACGCGGTCCATTTAATGCTACAAATACTCTTTGAAGCATTTGATTGACCAATTAAAAAATGCTTCAAAGCATTCGTAATATTAAATAAACTGTGATCTTTAATCCCAAAACACAATAGATGTAGTAAGCTTCAAACTATAAGATATTGGCCAACAGTCGAATATGAAGAAAATAATCACTATGATTGATTTCTAACAGCTTAAGATTTAATACATTTTTTGTTTTGAGACTTATATAAAAAAAAATTTGTTCGAAATGATTTCAAGGAGCAAAGTTATCAGCGGATTTATTTTCAATATAGACTTCAAAGATAGTTTCAAGGAAAAAAAAAATTCCATCGTTAATAATTCCTTAAACAAAGTTATCACCAGTCTGTTTTATAAATTCTTTCTTTCTTTCGTAATTCTCCAAAATTAAGTAAACACATTTGTAATTGTTGTTATCTCGTTCAAAAACGTAAAATTAGAGTCATATAAGATTTGCTGCGTATTAGACGCTGAATAGTATTTTATTATTTAACGAATCATTAACGAATTGTTAAGATTGTTAAATGGGAGCTCTAGAGATCCGCATAATTTACAATGTGCTCGACAAACTGCTTACGTAACCACGTCGCATAGAACGACAGAGAATGCACGGGGATTGCAAACGGTTTTGATGATTCGTGAAGCGTGCGCAGCGGACGCGCAATTAATCCGATAATTACCGCGACGCCTTGCCATAAACGCTGCTAATTGCCGGATGTATGTTTAATCTTCGCATCGAAATATACACTCTGAAAAACAGCGGTGTTTATGTAATTCTTACTGTGTTCGTGTTAACAACAATATGTGGATTTAATATTGTGGGTGTTAAATCTACACTATGATAGTGTTTATATAAATACCAGCGGTTTGAAATTCACACTATGTTAATATTAACACCAACAAAGTGAAAATTATATAAATATCACATTAAATCCACACCGATATTTTTAGTGTGGTTTATTGTTTCGTTTACAGTGAATCGTGTTTGCACGCGGGTCCGTGTACAATTCGCAACACCTGTGCAAATGATATAACATTCGTCAGAAATTTGATCGTTTGATAGCACTGCTTCGAGTGACGTCTCGTTAATTACGTCAAAATGCGAAACTTAAAATCAACATCGATATCTAAGAAGACTTGGCATAAATTAATCCAGAACCTGATTTTAGTCACCTGATTTTTTTTTCTACGTAAACGTACCATCACCTGGGAATTTACATTCCAATTAAAATTGCTATTATTAATCGCTATGCTAAAAATCATGTATGCTTATTGAAGAGTTATTTAAGACTTAATAATATATTGTATACTATTATTTTCCGATTCATTAGAATTTGAGAACATTATGGATATGGATTTAATCACAATTTTTTAAAAAAGTAAACTAAATAAATACGAAATAATCACGTTAAACAGCTTATTATAATAATATTTTTACATATTTAGAAGATACATATTTTAATTAAAATGTTTTTATTACGGATTTTCGATGAAATTTAAAGACACTTTCTAAAATCTTTGAAGTGAAATCTAAAGAGTGATAAAGAATAACAATTGAGCCACTGTTGAAAAAGAATAGCTAATTGTCAATTTCTAAAAGCAAGATTTCACTCTTTAGAGTTAGATTCCACTACAAAGATCTTAGATAACATGTTCAAAAGATCGTAAAGAAAAATTATTAAAAAGAAAAAAATATATATTAAATAATATCCATAAAATAATATTTTACAACAAATTTTTCACCATTAGGCTATAAATTCCAGATGACTTTCCCGGGTTAAATAAAGGATAGGTAATACTCATATTGAATATCTTCAAATTCTCGTTCCTTCGAAAAAAAAAAAATAAATAAAATGAGTTCCTGCGTATTCTCCGTGTAATAAGAGTTGGAGAAGGCGCGTAACGCGACACGTTACGAAATTAACACGAATCTCCTTCTGGTTAACGAATCACTTTGTGTTTTTCACGCAGAAAGCAGACGGATTGATACAATATTCAAAGATCAACTTCAATTATCCGACGCGGCCGGAAATGCCGGTGCTCAAGGGACTGGATCTAATCGTAAAGCCAGGACAGATGGTGGCCCTCGTAGGCCAGAGCGGCTGCGGGAAATCCACCTGCATACAATTGTTACAACGACTATATGATCCGATTTCCGGCATCCTGACATTGGACCGGCGTGACATCGCCTCGGTTTCGCTGGCTACGCTTAGGTCACAGCTTGGCGTTGTGGGGCAAGAACCAGTGCTCTTCGACCGAACGATTGCGGAAAATATAGCTTACGGTGACAACAACCGACAAGCATCCATGGACGAGATCATCGAAGCAGCCAAAATGTCCAATATTCATTCATTTGTCGCTTCGCTACCACTGGTTAGTTGTTGCTGTTATGTAATACTCGCGTATCAGTTGCGCGTAACGAAAAGCGTGGTTTATTTTAAAAAGAAAGAGAAACAAGAGTCTTTTATACTGTTAATATAATGCAAGTGATACGCAAGTACAATAATAATAATAATAAATTTTACGCATTAAAAGAACGTCAAAAGACTTCTCTCTCTGTTAAATATTAATATAATTAAATTGAATTGAATTAGTATTTTAAATTAACATTACAATTGATTTGAAATAATTTTAAAATAATTAATTGGAAAATAAAAAAAAAGGTTCTGAGGAAAAGTTTAACGTGATAATATTATTAATACTGTGTTAATATTATTATACTTTTTTAACCATTTGTTCCACACAATTAATTATAATCCTATTACTTTTCTGTTTATTTAGGGTTACGATACGAGACTGGGATCAAAAGGCACTCAGCTCAGCGGTGGGCAAAAACAGCGAATAGCCATCGCACGTGCATTATTGAGAAATCCCCGAATTTTGCTGTTGGACGAAGCAACTTCAGCCCTCGATACTCAAAGCGAGCAGGTGAGAATTGTCATCTGTTCTCCTAAAAAAACCTATTCGAGAACAATTCTTTTACTAATAATTTTTCCTCTTTAACGTTAGATAACATCGTGTACAAAAATACACTGTGTAATTCAACGGAAAAAGAATTTAGTTACATTAATTGGAATTCTGGTTAAAAATGGACAAATTAGAATTTTTTGGTTGAATTTATTATAATTCAAAATCTTCTAGTACACATTTTCAAACAGTAATTTTTTTAGTGTACATTATTCTCGAATATTATTATAATTTTCTGGATAACACTTGAAAATGTAAAACAAAGGCGACAAACAAACATAGCGACGAAAGCACGATTGCATCTAAAATAAAACCACAGATAGGTAATTGCGTAATATATTTGCAGGAAGTTACTTTACAACCGTAAAAAAATGCTCCGCGCGAGATTCGCAAAGCGGAACGATCTCCATCCGGACTTTCGCGTTTTGCTCGATGTAGCATGTACAATTTCTCGATTAATGGCGTATTATAATCCCCAAGATCACGTCTCGGTCCGACAATCACATTGCAGTTCGTAGATGACGAGATTGGAAGTCCGATTGAAAATTTCCCGAAGGGCACGACTGTTATCGTTATTGCAAAAGACCGACCGGCGACAGACAATCAAGTTAATGGTTATCGAAAATGACGGAGACGATGGTTCGTTTCGATCGTGCGTTTATCCGCAGATTTCCTTCGCAAATCGCATGCTTCATAATACCGTTACTGTATAATCATTAAGAACGTCTGTTGTGCGAAATTTCGCTGCTTCAGTCGACAAGAAGATAGCGCTTGCACACAGTACTTATTTATTTCTTTTTTTTATTCTGTTCGTTCGTGGGCTGCATTAACCCCGAGTCAGCATCAAGTTTTTAGGTCAATCCATTTTAGCTACGTTTTCCTTTACTCTGCACGAAACAAGTGTATATTCATGCTTTGTACGAGAAGGGAAACGAAAAACGCAACGCGAAGTACTGCTAAAATGGACAGAATTTGTAAAAAAAGTTTAAATTTTATCTTCAAGAGCTGTTTTTGTACAAACTATGTATGTCTAGGGGAAGGGAGGGGATTGTACTATTACGTTTTATTAAAATAACTCAATAAGCATTCATATAACATAACTTCTTCTTGTTAACAAAAGTTGTTAGCAAATTTGTTAGCCATAGGTCTGTTTTTTTATTTTATGAATAACTTGTGATTCAGACTTAATCTCACTTAACTTGGTAATAATGTAAAAATTATATTTCTCTAGCCATTTAATTATTAAACTGATGTTTTATAGTGTGGTAAGTCTAAAAATTATTCACTACAAAACCACTAGTTTAATGATTAATTATAACTAAAAAATATAATTTTTATATTATTATCAGATTAAATTTAATCAGAAAACGAAAAATTAGGTCATTATAAAATGATACCAATTATATCAGTATCATAAAATAATACCAATTATTAAAGATAGAAGTCCTTCGATTAAGATAGAACGAATATAATTTACAAAAAAATTAAAGAGAATAAAAAATTGCAGTTATGTACAATAAGAGAAAAAATATAGAACATCACTAATATATTTACATGTCGGATACATGCATACATTACTAAAAGTACAAGTAAAATTACAAAAAATCACATTAAATGCCTCCAAGCTAGATTAAAGCTACAAAATTAATACCAACATATTTTTCGAAGTTACATGAAGTGTGCAATAAAAGTTACTCACTCATCAATTAAGAGCATTCAAGGCCTCCAAGTTAAACTAGTCACAGAATTAATATCAACACACTTCTAAAAATTATTAAAATGTACCTCTATAAAATTGTCTATTTGCTACCTGTAAAACAAATGGAGTTTTTACAATAACACAGTAAATACTAATGACCAGTGAACTATGTTATAACGTTTAAGCGGACTGTAATTTTAGCGGTCACCTCCAAAATACATCACAAATTACATCATGATATTCCTCCTATTTTATAACGCTTCTTTCGTATATTATAAATTCTTAAGATCTGTACTTTGAAAGTTGTCTCATTTTAAATTGCAAAAGCAATAATTAGAGATTGGAGAAAATAGAAATATTATAACGATTAATTTCTTATATACGATCTAAGTGAATTATCTGCATTTTTAATAAGAGAGAGAGAGAGAAAGAGAGAGAGAAATTATTGAAACAAATATATAGGGCATAAATATCACGGAACTATGTTGCAAACGGAACTATTTCCGATAAGCAATAACGAGTACGATAGTCACGGAGGTCGGATAATAAATATTTGAGTATTTATACGATGTCCACTGCAGCGGGCCGTCGATTGCAGCGATTTCGCGGTAATCTAAACTGTAGCGTGGTGAGCACGGGATAGTGAGATGAATATTAACGTGACCCAGGTGGATTTAGATGAAAAATAGAGGTAGAAAGTGCGAGTCAAAGAGCATGGCCCCGAAATAATGTCCGCGTTCGCCGCATATTATACGCTACAGTATACCAACACGCGGTTTGTATGATAATTCTGGCAAAGTTCAATTAAAATCCAGTAATACTTGTATGCACAGATCAATCCCTCCTGTCGCATAAATTGCATAACCGCACAATCACATTTTTCCATTCCGTGTGTAAAGAAATTTCATTAAAAAAGTGCTGCCATAATTGGTCAAACATATTCTGTAAATATCGACAAATCAGACGTATATATATTTTTTTATACTCTCCCTCCGTCACTCGATGTCGATCTGCCGAATTACCGGATGTACCGGCTGTCACGCCATTACCGGTATTATCAGCGTTAACAATCGGAAATGCTCGGCTCTACGAGCAAGCGGTTGTTGCACCCCGGTCGGGAAACGGCTTGTCGCGGCCAAATGAATTTCGTGGTAATATTGTTTCCGCGTCGCCTCCCCCTCCCCCTCTCTCTTTCTCTTCCTCTTCTAACATAATCCAGCGACGGCGCCTGTCCCTCCTTTTGTCGAATCTCGTAAAACGAAAACGGGAAAGTGTTTACGCTCGATTAGTCTCATTAAAACACCCCATGCCTAAATCGCTCTTCTGATTTAAACTGTGTTCCGTGTTAACTATCGCTTGTGCTAATTACTCTGCGTTTACGGAATTAGTTTTGGGAAGACATATTGAATAATTTATATCCCAGGTACGCGTAAGGAACATGTGCACGCCGTTGTATTATTAATGTTAATTTGTTTTTAACACTTCCGCGCTAGCACGCGGCACGCCTCGTTTTGCGTAATGGATCGATGTCATGCATGTGCAACGCGATATCAAAAGTTAAAATTTATATCAGACTATTTTAGAAATGAATTACGTAAGCGGTGAATAATTTTTTATACTGCGTAGAGATATAAATTCTGAGAAAGAAGATAATTCTCTGTTCGTGATATTTTAAATGATAATAAAAAAACACACTTGATAAAAGATATTATTCCAACGCAAGCGATTAATTCTCGGGTATATCTCGATATTAATTCGAATAAAAAAATTTATACTTGAATAAAAGTTTTTTATAAAGGTTATTTGAATAATTTTTAATCCTTTGATGTTACTTTTAGTGGCATATCCGAGGTTTGTTTTACTTTACTACATGGAAAGAAAGAAAAATTTTGTCGAAGTATTTAAAAATTTAGATTGATACAAAAAATAATTTTGATGAACTATCAGAATAATTGGTATAAACAATTTAAGTATAATGAACAATTCTGCAAAAAGTTTATTTTTGCAATATTTTAGCAATCATTTGATTATTCTGCATAATTAGTTTTATAAGCCAACAAAATTATTTTCGAATCTGTGTCTAAACTTTTAAATACTTCAGCAAAATCATTTATTCTATGTATCTAAAAATTTAGCTAGATATAGATTTAAAAATAATTTTGTTGGATCATTACAACAAAATAACTATAATAATAGAATATTTAAGCGTTTATAATAATGCTGCAAAAAGTTTTAATTATGTATTGGGAAAAAACTACTTAATTTATTTGTGGAAGATATAATGCTTATTTCACTGAAATAAATTCTTATTTAAATATAGCGAAATGGATATATATTTCTAACAAATAAATCATCGCGCGATTTTATTTTTTTTTTTTTTACAATTAATAAGAGAAATGTAATATATTTCACAGAAATGTATATTCTGTCATCACAGTCAAATTTTTCATAATCAATAAATATTGAAAAAAATGTCACAAGTAACATTTGCTTTTGAAAATGTTGATTTCTTCTTTCAGTGTTCTTAAGAACCAACTTGAGCATCCTACATAATTATTTTGAAAAAACAAAATTATTTTTTTAGATCTATCTCTAATAAAAATTTTTAGACACTTTAGTAAAATTGTTTTCCATGTAAATATGTACGTTATGTTTTTTCTTTATTAAAGAAATATCTTATATTGCTTGATGTCTGGTGTTTAATAAAATGAAAAATATTTATTATAATAGGTTCATTTTTATGCAATATTTTTCACAATACTCAATGTAATAAAACGATATTGTAATCCCTAAAAGATTAATTCAATTAAATTCTAAGTATATACATGTCTTAGTTTTTGCACACAGTATTGTATACGAAATCATGCTAAAAGATCAAGATATACAAAGGAAAAGTCAACCTAATCGTTTACATTTATATTCTCGCCGCCGTCGTCACACACTTATATCCTCAGGAAACAACCTCTCGCATTAACCGATATTTTCTGCGTGCAGGTCGTGCAGGCGGCCTTGGACAAGGCTATGCAGGGCAGAACGTGTATCACCATAGCTCACCGTCTGGCCACTATAAGGAACGCCGACGTGATCTGCGTGCTCGATCGAGGTACCGTGGCCGAGATGGGCACCCACGACGACCTGATGGCGTCCGGTGGTCTTTATGCTCACTTGCACGCTCTTCAGCAGACCTCTATCCAGCAGTAGAAGAGCGACTAGTCGTCGGATTCCAATGCCTTTTCCTTCTTCGTGCGCGAATCGACCGGTGCATCGAGCGTCTTGGAAGCGCGAGGATCGACATAGGTCGAACGCATGGAAAGTGGAGAAGAGCCAAACTGGCTAAACATCGCATAAAGACCGCAAAGCGGAACTCAAGTGGCCGCAATTGTCACCGCCGAAAGGCCACGAGATGTCAAAGAACACAAATGATGACGTTCAAAGGAACGGATACACTAGGACAGAAGATAGGTTCCTATAAGTTCATAGAATGTTCAATCAACTTATTTACCGTGCCGACTCCGTAGCGAGTGCGATGACAAACAACACCGTAAGTGATTTGAGATCACTAATCGAGGATCGAGCAATTTATTTTCGGTGGAAACTTGATCATAAATCAAAATTCGAATTATATCGATGTCAACCTAGTAAACATCAACTAACAAACACAGAAAAATACATCTTGTATGTAAATAGACAATAATTACTTGTTTGAAGTATTTCAATAGTTTATATAAACCACAAATCTATTATAAGCATCAAATTCAAAATATATTCTAAATCCTAATAATACTTCAATCAAGATTGATAAATTAAAACAAATTTGATTTTGCTTATAATATAAAGTCGTTTCTTCGATTTTATAATATATTCGTCAAAAAAAGAAAATAAATTCTTGATTTGAGTACATAATAGTGAGTTTTTCTAAAAATTGTATAATTTAAAATCATTACCGATTATCACGAAAATATTCTTTATTAAAGATAACTAATACTTAAAAGAAAGAAAGTATATTAAGTAATTATTGTTCTTAGCAATAAAAATGATATTTTTGTACAGTAACGTTACATAAATATTACATTATAATTTCCTACTCAACAGTATATATATTATAAATATAATCTGACACATATTATAACAATTACATTGTTGAGTAGGAAATTATAACATCCCAAATTTCAACTAACAATAATGTAACTGTTAATTATAATTGTTAATTATAATTTTTCACTCAACGATATAACTGTAATATAACACGCAACAGTTATATTGTTAAGTGGAACATTATAACTAATTATATTACTGTTAGTTGGAGCTTAGGTATTGGAGTTGATGTAGTATTATTGTTAGTTGGTATTTGCTAGGAGAATTCTCGGATATAATTTTCAGCCAGTGAGAAATACGATTTGAATGATCCTATCAATTTATCGCTCGCAGAGTTTTATACATTGACACAAGTAAATTACGGTAGTACATTGTGATTTTCTTACAAGTATAAAATTTGTATATTTTGATAGATATTTCTTTAGGTACAAGCCTGAACAATAGTTGTAATTAACGAAAGCTAATGAAGCAAATAGAATGAATATTCACTTTTACCTTTTTTCCCTTCTTTTTTCTTTTATATATTTATATATGACCACCTTATTCGCGCTTATCATATTTCTCGTTTGATACTTTCATATAAAATGTTTCTGCGGCTGATAGACTTAAGTCTCCTGTCAAAGACCTTTTACCAGGGACGTGTACGTTACTTCTCCTGGCGGCCACGTTACTTCATTAGGCATTGTACCTCGCGCACACCCACGTAACGATCCATTCTTCTAGATGGCGAAACGTGTCATGTGGCATTATCCATAATGGCAGGCGACGTAATAGACTTTTCCCCCCATTTCACCGTTATTCGTACGCGTCGACTTTCCTCCAGAGCGTTTTCTCAGGTGATAATATTTCTTGCGCGCGTACACACGCTGTGCAAAGTTATCGCGACTTTTATAAGAGTTAACATATCTCGTGATGAGTTTCAGGAAATTTGACTATATGTTTGTAAACCTCTTCTTTTTGTAAGAAAAAGATTTTGCTGAAATATCTCTCTCTAAAAATTTAACTAGATACAAATTTAAAAATAATTTGTGATAAAATTATAATAAAAATAAGTTTGTTAGACCATCAAAATATTTATAAAAAATTCAAACATAATGTGCAATGTTACAATATTTTTTAAAATATAATATATCTATCTTAAGTATTTTATACTGATTATCAATGATAATCTAATCCTTTGAATTAAAAGTGGCATTTTGCTAAAATATAAATTAATTTATTTTAGCGATTAGTTTCCAAGTAAACAACATTTGTATTATATACGTATAATAAATAAAAAATTAAATTTGAGTCATAAATTGAATACATTTTCTTAAGGTAAATTGTTTTATAACTCCATTGCTTTAATTTAATTAATGATATATTGAGTAGAAGCAATGGCGATGATTCAGTAGAAATAATTAAAAATAAATTAAAATAACTCAAATGAGATATAATTTGACATTATAATTAACAATTTAGGGGAGACCGGGGCTGGTTGTTGTACGTGGTTAATTGTCAAAATACTTATAATTCAAACAGAACATCGCAGAAAAATCTCTTTTTTTTACTGTAGATTGCTAATATAACATTAATTTTTTGTGTAAAATGATTTGCGCCACAAGCATTGCATATTATATTTATAGCCATTTTTAAGAAAATAAAGTTAGTGAGTAAATTATTCTTATCATCTATTTTGTTGTCTGACAAGTCTTTGGCATTGTTAATTACAATATCCTTAGAAAATGACACGTCTTAAAAGATTTTTGCTACAATTAATTAATCATTATCCTGATAAAGTTTGTGAATACAATCCTCTTTTATTAAAAATGACTATTTAGAATAGATTGACCAAAATGAGACCAGATTAGGTGATAATTAATTTTAATATCTTTAGAGAACACATTTTTAGAGAATATACTCACAAATATACATTTTGTATAGATATATATGCATGTTTGTATAGATATATATGTATTTTTCATATAGAAACTATGATATAAAAACAAATTACGCATTTTATGATTAAAATAACTATATTATTTATATGTATATTTGTATTAATACCATAATTACTATTATTTCTCAAAATATAGAACTGATATTAAAATAAAAATTATATTTTTTATATGTATTGTCCATAACAAATATGCTACTGCCCATTCTAGAATGTGTGAATTCTAGAATCCAAAACAAATTGGGGTTAATTGTCACATTTTCACAGCTTCATTTAAAATCAAATAACTTATTTTAACGATATAATGAATTCACGAGTAATATTTTTTTAATATCTAAAGGATGTAGGTACATTATAACGGATATAATATTTCAAAATCAGGGATTCATTTTTTTCTAAAAATCACTAATCAAAAAATGACTGGTCTCCCTTACATAATTAATTAGACAATTCTACAAAATTATTTTTATATCTGTATCTAGTTTTGATACTTTAACTTTTTAGATATTTTAGCAAAATTTCTTTCTGTACAGATAAAATATAGGCAGGTTCTTTCGGGGACATTAATCAAGATTCAAGATTTTATGATTCAAATCTGCCTTATCCTATTGATCAAATGAAAGATCGATGTTGAATAGATATCAATTAGCGTAATTAATGTTATCTACTCTCCTCTCGTGTCTCATTAGATTAGATAGACGACGTAATCGAATCGATCGGTTTGCGGGACGTAACTCGTGTAACAAAACATGCAAATGGCGACAGGTGTTCAAGGACGTGACATAAGAGTATTCCTCCGCCGCTGTCGTTGTCGTCATCAGTGTAATTTCGACAATGCCGTAGCGGTACTCTAAACGACATAGCATGAAAAATGTATAAGTATTTCTTTGGGAATAAAACGCTCCGCACTCCACTTACGCGATTCTTCATTTCTTTTCTTTTATCTAAAAAAAATTCTAATGTCCATTTTTATTCCCTCATAAAGTAAAAGGAGAATTTTTCTCTTCTTGAATATCTGTAAAATATATCAAACTGAATTAGTAATCGAAATATACAGAGAATCTTGAAATTCGCGATTCAAAATATTATAGCAAAACATTAATTCTCAATAAATTAAATAAAAAAGTTATTCATAAATTTTTATTGTAGATATTTTTTTTTTTAGATAATAAGGGTTTAAATATTAACCAGTTACAGATTATGTTTAGATTATGGACGGATGATCATTTAGTCTGTGACTTGCTATATTTAAATCCTTATTAAACTAAAAAATTATCGTTTAAAATAAAAATTTACAAATAACTTTTTTACTTAATTTATTGAAAATCTTTATATATTTCGAGAATTTTGGAATACCCTGTATATTGGTCCATAGAACAAAATATCGAATATATAAAATTCACAAGAAGGACATAAATTATCGTTATCCTTTTCTTCAATGCCTTAATGACAGCACGTAGTTTAACGGACACGTTGTCAGGTAACGTTATTTGGATCAGGGAAGGATACTTTCCGGAAAATGTACCTGTTCGCAAACATGTGCTGAATTCGCTCGAGAGGTATTATGTAAAGCGGCATCGTGTATGAGTAAATTTATTACTGTAATAACAGTCATGTGTACAACGGGGAATAAATAAAATGAAATAGGAAATCATATATATTTACGAGAGACGACTCTGGCGTGTAAGTATCTGGGATTCCACGGTGCAAAACGGCTTTCTCCATGCGAAACGAAAATCGATAATCGCGAAACAATCAGCGGTCCATGTGGTAGAATGGCGATCGGCTTTTCGAAACGGACTGCTGTCATAAATTACACGTCACACAGCTGAGTCATTTCGCGATTACATTCTCCCGATACCGGATGTCTTCTCCCCTTAGGCCTTAATAACAAAATTCGCCGATGCGAAGGCTTATCGGCTTTGGCGATGATATATGCCCGACGGCGAAGGCAGTGCGTGTAAAAAGGTCTAGGACGATTTTTCAGAATTTGCCCCTTCAGCTTAAGGGAGGTGCTGCGTCTCAAATGTCGTCACGATCCATTAGCCGAGAGATAATATTGTGCAAACACGTTGCGGCTACACGGATGCAAAAGAGCAATCGTCGCTAATCGAGATACAATAGGACATTAACCCTTTATTACTCGTGTGGGTTGTCCAGGACACCTCCTGCCTTATAAATTTGCTGAACGTATAAATACTATTTATACACATTATTATATTTAGTGCAAATTTTCAAAATTAAAACAAAATTTTTACATTTATGTTTATCTAAAATATATATAGGATATTATCAATCTTTATTTATTTGTAAATCATTAAAGAGAGCAATGAAAATTAAAACATATATACATATTATATTTAGCGCAAATTATTGCACAATTTAGAAAAAAATTGCATTTATCTTTATATAAAGAATGTACAGAATATCAATCTTTATTTTATTGGAAATTATCAAAGAGAATGATAAAAGTTGGTATATAATATTAATATTGAGAGTCAGATATACTCTATGCCAACAATTACGTTAAAAAAAACCACGTGAGTAATATAGGATTAAATAAATAAGCAGTGACTGCTAATCATCATGTGCTTATCTGCAGAAATAAGCGGATTAATCTTTGCTTCGAAAGAATTCTCGTAAAAATCGTATCTATTCAAAATGATTTTAATTATTCTCTCGAAGTATTTATATAGAAAACTAAAAATTATCATTAAATCACAGTTTAGATTTGTA